CAAAATCTGGCCCAAGCCCAGTCTAACTATTTCTACCGATAACAACAAATATATGAGGTTATCTCTTGTTTGGACAGATTGAAACTAAAAAAGAAAAATATCTCTCCGATGAAGATTCAAGTCGAGACGCAATCCTACGAAAATTGAATAACCACGGAGTCGTTCCTCTCTGACCTGAACCGGTAAGTCTTCTCCTCCTTTATTTACTTTTCATAAAATAGATAAAAACTACTACTTTTCCATTGTTCAATTTGTAAATATGGAGATCTGACTTTCGAAAAATTTCAAGTTTGTTTGCATGTGGTTTCCTATAACTTTTATGAACATATAGGCAAGAATTAAATGGTTATTGATATGTTCAAAGAAATTCTGAAACACACTCGGACAAAACATGTAAGTGTTGGTATTCGATGAAACAAATTTTTTTATTTGTTGTATAACAATCTTCTATTCTTAAACCGCGCTTATTACATGATTTTCGATTTGTTAATGAATTAATATATTTGGGTATTAAATTTATTAAATATGTTTGTCTCCTAATTGTAATTTTCAACTTTCAGGGTTAAAATATCTTTCAAGAAAAAGATAATGCACAACAACATAAATGTAAGATTCAGTTATAACATTTAGTTAGACTCCATTCATCTTTGAAAGGTTTGAGATCCTTAATAAGACACATTTTTCTTTCGTTTGACATGTTTGTTGTGAGAGGTCAATAGGCAGTCTTTAATTGTAGTCTCAGTATATATAGATGGGTGAAAAAATCTAGTTTAAGTTGTATTTATGGCAAGGAAAGATGTAGCACTGATATTTTCTCCTTTATGTTTTTCTCCCTAATCATATATATGTTAGTCCATCTTTGATAATATTGAACTTATTTGTGCAACTAATTAATGTGTTATATTTAATTAGTTGTGTAGTTTTAGAATATCTTGCTAATCACTCATTGATATTGTTTAAATTCCTTGCACATAAATCCTTAGGGAAGGTAAAATTATGTGGAGATAAAGAAAAATTAAGAGATCATAGTAATATTAGATCTGTTAGATGGAATAAGAAATTTGGGAAATCTAATTTTTAATTATCTTTGTTACATACGATATTTCATAGAAATTTACACAAACCCATTTTAAAAGTTGAATAGATGGGCTACAGAATAATTGGGTATCACTGGGCTTAAAACAAAATCGGCACATACCCTAATTGATGCAAAACTTGTTTCCAAACAAACTTATTTTTTAAACTACAATCCTAGTATCCAAACAAACTTAATTTTTTTAAACTACAATCCTAGTATCCAAGCAAAACTTAAATGTACTTCAGTTTTAATAAGATAGATGATAACTACTTATATAAAAAGGAAAAGAGAAGCACGTCTTAATGCTATAAAAGAAACACGTCTACTGTCTTAAGAGGCATCCGAGAGAAACCCTAAAACACAAGAACAAAGAAAAGTTAAGAGAGAGATCAATAGTAGAAGAAACTAGGAGAGGAGACATTGTTCGAGTCATGTCTCTAAGGGATATATATTCTTTGATCCTTCTTGTTCTTTGTTGTGTAGAGCGCTTAGATCAATTATGTAAAGCCCTTTGATTGATAATGGATGTTGTGAGAAAGGTTTCCACCCGAGACGTACCGGTTCGAGACCATGAACTCGGTGATCAAATTCTATGTGTTATTTAGTTAAGCAATCAAACGATTAATAAATCCTAACAAGTGGTATCAGAGCAATCCAGATTTTGGTTGCGGGTGTTAGTGAGATCACGAAGACAACACATTGAAGGGTTGGAGGTCAAGGATCAAAGGGAAACATGATCAGTTTGGTGAAGACTTTAGGACTGATCTTTCCGCTGCAATCACAAGGTAACTGTGATGGTCTAAGTTTCTGTATACTCGAGATGCTAAGGTTATGGAATCTAGATTTTGGGAGAACACATGGAGATAGACCGGTTTTAACAATAGAAATTCAAGATTTTTGCTGTGAAATCAGATTGTATCTTGGCTTATTCTAGTTATTGAAAATCCATTCAGTTTGGTGTTCAAGATGGGTTGATAGAATAGCATGACTTATAGATCCATGACTAGGGGACACCTTAGGGAAGGGATGTGTGTAGAAAGTTGTTTTGAGTTTTGTTAAAAATCTGAGATTCAAGAGGAAGGTTATTAGCTGAAGAGTATGGAGGTGAAACATGGTGTGTGCTTGAGGCAAAGCAGGCAGGGAACTTATGAGAAGCTCATGGTTTGAGAAAGTCTACAAGAAGGGTAAGTTTTGGGAGATTTAATCGTCAAAACCACGCGGTTGAAGAATCTTACTCAGCTGAACTCAAGTCGAGAGAAGGTTCAGGTTATGGATTTACCTGAAGATCATCGAAGTAGCTTAAGAGCAGTGGCTGTTCACAAGAGAAGCTGCTAAGAAGATGAAATTAAGAATCATAGTTTTGCAAAAAGAAAAAAAAAACAGGTTTAGTGGTTCAAAGTTTGTTAAGGAAAAAGCAAACAAGGTTTCTCAAAATCTCAGAAGTATGGTGAGTGAGAAGGGTGACTGCAAGGACTATGAAGCTGCAGTGAAGAATATTGGTTTAAGGTGGAAATTCTGTAGAAAAAAGCAAAGGAAATTGCTTCAAGTGGAGCTTGTGGAAGATAAACTGATTATCCAAACAGCAGAGGAGACGCGGTTGTTCGTCAGAGACACTGTAAGAATAAGATAACATGTGAGGCGGTTAAGGTTTTATGAGGAAACGCTAAAGGATAACTCAAACTCTTACAACATCAGTATAAGGTCTGCAAAGTGGTTGTTGGGAGCAAGACTAATTTCACAGGTTGCTGGCCTTTTGCGTTCCAACAAAAAGCTAGACGAAGGAATTTTTTTTTCATAGAAGCGAAGTTATAATCAAGGAAAAAACTTGTGAATATTCTAACTCAAGTTCTGATAGTGTGCTGGTTGTACTGGCTCAATTAGTTATACCGGCTGTACTGGTTCAACTAGTTATACTGGTATATTGGTTGTATTGGATATACTGGTCGTACTAGTTATACTAGTTCTACTAGTAATACTTAATTAGTTGTATTAAGTTCTACGGAATAAGGTATACTTAGTTCTACTAAATGTAGTTGTACAGAGTTATATGAGTTCTATTAAATTCACATCTGAAAATCAAATTAAAGAAACACACAAACCAATACAAAACTTATAGATCCATAACTTGAATAGAAGAAACAGATTCAAATAAAAAATAATTCAAAAAAGCCTAAAATTGAAAAAAAAAACAATAAGAAACCTAATCAAAGAAAAATCCAGATTTTTCATAACACTGTTTTTGTTTCATCTTCTTGGGGGTTATTATTTATTCTATCGCTAATTACGGAAGAATGTGATGGTGATTGAGATCTGAGATCTGATTTTTTTGTAATAAAATTAGAGAAAGCAAGTAAGTGAAGAAGATAGAATAATCCAGAAGAAGAAAGAGGTGAATAAAATTATAGAGAAAAAAAAAAGAGAATCCCAGAGAGAAAAAAGAGAGGAGAAGGAGATGAGAATCGCAGAGAAAAAAAAGAGGAGAAGAAGATGAGAGGAAACGAAGGTAAAGAAAATTGTTAAAGTAATACTTTAGGGTTAAGGATAAAATATTAAATTGATTAATTTTCGAATTAAAAATAAATCAAAACTAAATGAATTATAAAAGCGGAATATTTTAGCTTTAACAATTAGATCCAATGACTCTATAGACGATTCTCACTTCTTGGTCTTCTCTATTCCGCAAAAAAAACATAGTAAGTTTGAATCTCCATTGATCAATGTTATCCATGGGCCAAAACAAATCTACAATAGGTACTTGACACAATTTTATATTTCATAACATAACAACTACATATTTCAAATTTATTTTGCTTTTAAATTCAGTGAGCTGTATTATCATCTATTTTAAAACTAACAACAAATGTTTAAATACTATATATGATTTTACACACTAATAACATGTAAAGAACTCTAAGTCTAAATCCTAAACTCATATATAATAAAAAGTTTTTAGCATTTAAAAATAATATTTTTGGAAATTTTATCTATTTACTAAATTAGAACATAATATGTAGATAATAATAAGTAAAATAAAAGCCATATTAAAATTTTCAATTTATATATTATATAAATAAAATATAAACTATTTAGTAAATGTATTATTTTATGTATTTCATATAAATAATAGTTTACTACGAGTCTGATACTATAAATATATGCTGAGAAATGTAATTGACAGTGTTGACAGTTCAAAAAATCAACTAATATAAACTATAAAATTATTAGTTTTAGAAATATTTATTAACCATTTATTTAATAGGATAAAAATTTTAATATATTTTAACATTTACATAAATAAAAAGTATAAACAAATATCAAACACTAGTTTTCTTTTAAAATCCATCTACACTAGTGGGGTCGTACATCTAGCCTAAACTTGAATAAAAACTTGAATACTGTCAACCTAAACCCTAAACCCAAGATTTAGGACTTAGTGTTTTCTTGACAGATTTAAAATTATTGAATAATTCTTGGGTTTAGGGTTTAGGTTGACAATATTAAAAATAATTTTTAAAAATTCAAGGATTTATCCAAGGGTTTAAGATTTACAAAAGTCCTAAATCTTAAACCCTAAACCTTGGATAAACTCTAAACCCTTGAATTAATCATAAATCATATGGTTTGAGATTAATCAAGGGTTGAGGATTTACCAAAGGGTTTAAGGTTTATGATGTAGTGTTTTGTATTTTAAAAGAAAAAGGTTTAAATTTTTTTTTGTTTGTAACTACTATTATTTTTTTTTTATTTTATCTTTAAATTTTAAAAACATAACATAATTTGACAATAATTTTTTTATTTTTTGAAAGATATTGAATATAAAATACCAATTTCTCCCTAAACTTTGGGCCAAACTAGTGAAGCCTATCAAAACCCTAATTACGTCTCTCTCTGACGAGTGACGACGAAGAACAAACCCTAAACCATGGATGAAGTACTCGTGTTGAAAGGGACAATGTGCGCCCACACCGATACCGTCACCGCCATCGCCACCCTCGCCGACAACTCCGACATGATCGTCACATCTTCCCGTGACAAGTCGATCATCCTCTGGAAACTCAACAAGGACGAAATATCCTACGGCGTCGCTCAGCGCCGCCTCACCGGCCACTCACACTTCGTCACAGACGTTGTTCTCTCCTCAGACGGACGATTCGCTCTCTCCGGAAGCTGGGACGGTGAGCTTCGTCTCTGGGAACTCTCCACTGGAGTCTCCACTCGACGTTTCGTGGGACACACGAAAGACGTTCTCTCTGTTGCTCTCTCACCTGATAACCGTCAGATCGTGTCTGCTTCTCGTGACGGTACGATCAAGCTGTGGAACACGCTTGGAGAGTGTAAGTACACGATCTCCGACCAAGGTGAGGGACATAAGGATTGGGTTAGTTGTGTTAGGTTTAGTCCTAACACGCTTGTTCCGACCATTGTGTCTGCTTCTTGGGATCAAACCGTGAAGGCATGGAATCTTCAGAACTGTAAGATTAGGAAAACTCTTGCTGGGCACTCTGGTTACGTGAATACTGTGGCTTTGTCACCGGATGGGACTCTGTGTGCTAGTGGTGGGAAAGATGGTGCGATCTTGCTTTGGGATTTGGCTGAAGGGGAGACGATTGACTCTCTTGAGGCTGGCTCGATTGTTCACTCTATTTGCTTTAGTCCCGATAGGTATTGGTTGTGTGCAGCGACGGAGAATAGCATTAGGATGTGGGATCTCGAGACAAAGATTGTTCTTGAGGATTTGAAGGTTGATCTTAAGGCTGAGGCTGAGAAGTCTGATGCATCTGTCGGAAACAGAAACGGAAACAAGACTAAGGTATTGAATTAACCAGTACTTTACTTATGTGTAGTTGACAAGAATGCATTTTGATTTGATTGATGTGGATAGATCTGAATATCGTTTTTGTAAGAAGAGTAGTTTATGTTAGGTCGTGTCTTTGATCTCTTAAGACTGAAGAAATGTCTGAAGTGGTTTCATCTACTTGGTATTAACTTATTAGTTCTGATTTCAATGTTTTTGGTTTGAAATTTGACTATGGTTATATGTGTATTCTAATGTGAAATAAAAAATGCAGGAGATATACTGCACGAGCTTGAACTGGAGCGCAGATGGAAACACATTGTTCAGTGGGTACACAGATGGAGTTGTCAGGATTTGGGGTACCCCCTAGACTATATTTGAGAATTGATTTTGTTATCATCTCTACAATCATTTTCACTGGAAAAAAAGATGACATGGCACTTAAAAAATGACATGACATCATCTTTAATTGTGAGATGTAAAATTTCTTTATAAAAATTTAAAATTTTTTGCATGGATTTTAAATATGGTAATAAATAACTTATATATCAACAATAATATCAATTTTTCATATAAATATATATATGGTAAACTATTACATATTTTAATATTTCATATATCACAATTAAAATAATAATATATATGTATCTCACATTAATAAAAATAAACTAAATAAAGTAACACTATTCCAAAAAACAATTTGATAGTTAAATATTTAAACATTATTTAAATTTATCTATTCACCTTCATCATTTAAATTAACAAAAAGATTTTTCAATTTAACTAAAACAAAAAAGTCTCAAATTTATTAGAATTTTGACTTGGTTGCTCTTTTTGGGAATGATAAAACTGACTTTCATTTTAGTATATATGTAAAAAGCAAAAAAAAAAATAGAAACAATGTAGTTTTCTCTTCGTAATATTTTAATAAAAATAACTAAATTGATTATATTATTGAAAAAAAGAAAATGGGTATTAATCAGAAATAACTCTTTATTTTTTATAAAAGGGCAACCCTAAGAGTTAAAAACCATAATTAATTTCTAAACGGAAACAATGACGATGATCACTGATCTTTCATTGGATTTGGTAGAAGAGATACTCTCTAAGGTCCCGACAACTTCTCTAAAAGCAGTAAAATCCACTTGCAAAGGATGGAACACTCTATCCGAAGATAAGAGGTTTAGAAAGATACATTGTAGACAATCAGCCAAAGAATTTTCGATGTTCGTGGCTTTTGGTGGTTATTGGTCTAAAAGAAGATTCAGTCTCCACGGAATCCATAACATCAAAGACTTGCCATGTATAAAGGAGATAGGAAATCTACAAAGTCCTGATCGGAAGATATATATGTATATCCCGTATATATTTATCCTGAAAATAACAACATGTTTTTGTATCTACGTGTCATCACCAGAACAATTCTTAGAATTCTTAAGAGGGTGTTATTGGTTTGAATATTTTAGTGGATTTGAAAATACAAATCAAATATAATGTTATTGATTCTATGATTTTAAAATCCCTATTCAAATTTATTGTTATTGGTTCTATGACTTTAAAATCTATATTCAAATTTATTGTTATGCGTTCTATGATTTTAAAATAGATTTTAAAATCAGGCGTTATTCAATAATAATGATTTGCTTGAGGATTTGATTTTAAAATAGATTTGAGTGGATTTATGAGTTAAAAATACAAAGAAACAAATATTGAGTTGAACCTTGTTATTTTGATAGTGTATTATTGATTTTCTTAATAACTTTTTTTTTGCCCCAAGTTTTACGTACATATTATCCATGTTTCTCTAATAATAAGCAAATACTAATATATTAACCAACCATCTCTAACTTAGCTTTACGTACACGTAGACGTTAATATACAATATTACCAAAGATCTCTCATAAAAGTTTTGGTCTACCAATCTGGAGATTCTACTCCATAAATTACAAAGAGTTGTTTACCATCATCATGTTTTTCTGAGAAATGTTAAGAATTTTGATATATTCAAATCTCGATTTTTAATTTTTAATGTGCATCCCCTTTTTCTTATACGACACAAACGGAGAGAATATTTGTGTGTTAGTTTACGTGTAGTCTTTTTAAAAAGTTCTAAAGAATCGATAATTTTTCTGAATAAAAAAGTTTTGATGAAGAAGAAGATCTTGAGGAAGTTACTGGAACTGAAAATCAACAAACAGAATATGTCAATCAAGTGAGAACGGCAATAATAACAAGTATGTGAGAGATTTTATGTTATCATAATAACATAAGATATAGAAAATGATAAACCATATGTTGTAGTTTTTTATATATTTTCTTTTGTTACAAAGCTCCGTTTATCACAAATCCATTTCGTTGATTTCTAATAATTCAATTATATTGATTTTGAAATCTATTTCATTGATTCTGAAATCTACGTATTTGATTCTAAAATGTGTGGATTTGTCAAAAATTTCAAAATCCAAAAATGATTTCTAAATCCATAAAATCCTAGGACCAATAACCCCCACTAAAAAAATTAGTTGGTTCATATAAATATATATTATACTTTTTATTAAATTATCTATTGAAATAATTAGTAGTGAACAAAACAATATATTTTAATCACATTAAATATATAATAAAAATTGATTTTTTTTGTTATATCTTATATTTTGAATTTATAAACGACCATAAATTGCTAAAAATAGTAAAAGTTCTATATTGAAAATTTTAACAATGCAGCGTTTTGATTATAATTGTAAATATATAGATATATATATTCGTAAATATAATTTTAAGTTAAAAAATATTTTATCTTAATTTAATATTTAATTAAATCAGATTTATATTTAAATATTGGTAAGAAAATAATAAAACCTATAATATTAGTAAAATTTATTATTAAATATAATTTAAGCTTAAAAAACTTTTCCCTGCACATGGTGCAGGAAAATACCTAGTTGCTTCTGAATAGAGAAGAAGAGAAGATATGATGATGATCTCTCCAATTTTTCTATCGGCTCAAATGGCTTCACTTCTGTACTAGTGATTTGAGATTGATCTTTGCTATTGACAGATATACTGTCGTCTTTGATTGATGCGGCACGTCTCTCTTTGCGGGTTTAACATTCCAGTATTTAACGTTCCAAACGTGCAGGATCTAAGAATATTAACGATGTTTTTCTTTTGGGTACTGCTAAACGCATGCACTTAAAATTCAAAAGAAAAAGTTCATATGAGAAAATTAAAAAATAATAATAATAATATAGACTAAATCGAACAAACTAAGTTAAATGGTGAATCTAATACTCTCTGAGAACAGCGTCAAATTTTGAAATCACTCAAATTACCGTATGAGCAAATTTACTCTCTCAAATCAAATGTTCAGTTTGTAGTACTTAGGGATCGGATCTATAGAAAACGTAGGCACACAATAAACTTAATGCAGTCAATGATTAAGTTAGGCAAACATGGGAATAAATAAAGCAGAACAAGTAAAGCAGTGTTTTGGTTGGTTGTAAGCAATATGAGAAAATAGCTAGATTTAGAGTTCATGAAATCATGATTATAGAGATATAGAAGATAATAAGGATGTGTGTATGATATTCTAGAACTCGAATTTTCATGTATAGATATTCAGATGTCGCATGTGAGTTTAATAAATGATCTAAATCTAGTATTTCAGCTTTCGCTTGTGAACACGAAATGTCGATTGTTGCTACCTTCTAGCGTCGATAGACACTTCCTTAAATCGGGTTTAAAGTCATATTCAATAGGTTCACTAAAACTCCTAAGCCAGTTGTCGCATGTATCTAGCAACCTAGCTCAAGAGAATCAATTCATGTTGCGAACCGACCGTCGTAGTGTTCTACAATTCTAAGATCAGAGTTCTAGTTAGCTACTTTAGAACACAAGCATTAATAGTAATTCTAATGATTGATATCTTTATCACCCTAGAAATTTTATAGTTTTGGCTAATCTTTCATAACCCTAACTAATAATAATATGTTAAATTTCCACAAGCTTGGAATTATCTAACATTCACCCCCTTAATTCTAACTTGAATTAGGGAGATCAATTTCTTGAACTCCAATTAAGCTATTCATGCCTTCCTCGCTTTTGTACCGCCTCTTCTTAGAATTGGCTCAGTTCTTGTAGAACTTTCTCCTGAACTCTTCACTTAAGTTGCGATGAGTCTTGTGGATGAATCTCACTGCGACAAGAACTCTGGTCACGTCCGCCATCTTGTGTACGTGAGCTCTGGTAAGGATGTTGGCCTTCTGCTCAACACCCCCACACATCCTCCACTGGTACATGTGTTGTGTTAAACGCTTCCATCTGTGTGTCACACATGATTCCTTGAGCATTTATCTCTGGTTCGTCTCCAGCTTTTGACAATTTGTAACTCGACTCCCTTGGAACTTGAGTCGTGTTACATCCTTCAACATCTGTGTCACACCAGATTCCTTGACCAGGACTCTCCTCCTTTATCCTTATTTCATCTTCTCCGTGAATCTTGTAGATCCACTTTAACCATGTAGGTTTAGCACAAATCGGTCTATCTACAAGCTTCCATGTCTTGTTTCTTGTGATAGACTCCAACTCGTCTACAATAGTTTCAAATCCACTTTCTTCACAAAGAATCGTCTACAATAGCTTCAAATCCACTTCCTTCACAAAGTAGATTGAACCTAGCTGAGGTAAACTCTCCCCCTCTATTGGTGAGAAAGGTTCTGATCTGATGGGTTCCTTTAGAACCGATCGAATACCTCATGCTTCTTCTTGACTAGTATACTCGAGAATTCATGTCTAATTTGCTTCTCTGTTAGACATGTGTGACACACGCCATCTTTGTGTGATACACTCGGGAATGAGTGTATGTTTTGCTTCTCTGCGACACATGCATCACACACGCCTTCTTCGTGTGTTGCACACGACATTACTTTGACTAATGTCTAAAGTCTCGCCTTCCTTACACGAACAACTCTAAGGTGTCGTGACTTGATGGTGTTCTTCTTTTGATCATCCAGACCAGGTTCTGTTGTGTCATGAACATGCATCATAACCTGTCTTCTCATCGACCAAACTGTGTTATTTTTCGACGTTGACATTGTACATTGGATGGATGTAGATCTAAATTCCTTCGATTGCGGTGTAGCCCTAGTCACGTCAGCCATCTTCACTTCGTGATCTCTTCTTCACAGTCACCAAGATCTTAGCTTTAACTTAAGCTTAGATCGACTCTCCAACTTGAGGCTCTGATACCAATTCAAATATCTAGAAACGCAAAGGATTTTATAAGAACAACTTTTCTTATTTCTTTAAAAGCTATTCAAAACTAAAGCTCTCAATATGTTTCTCTTAGATCATCTGTGATCTACTCTCTTA